TCCTGACGTCGGCGTCCCTCGCATCCCTCGACCTGCCTGTCGGCCTTCCCACAATCCCGAGGGGCCACACGGTTTCTGGCGTGGGCGGTGTCCTGGGCCCCGTCAATGTCGAAGCGCCAGCTGCTTCTCCCTGCTCAGGGCAACCTCAATCGTGCCGTCCGGTTCGTTCCCCAGGGCCGTTCTTTTGTTCCAGGCGTCCTCTCCCTCGCTGGTGTTGGCCCCTCCCACCTCGACGGCTGTCTTCCCCGGGACGGACCGGGTGCCGCCCTTGGCCATGTTCTAGTCCCGCCTGCTGGGCCGCCGGGTCGGCGTCTCTTTCTGCAGTGGACGTTGTCCGTTCCTCCGTTGCCCTGCACTTCTCCCAACCCCCCCCCCGCGGACGCTGCCGGACGTCCTTGGGTTTTGGGGCGGTCTACAAGCTGGACGTTGTAGGAAATCCTAAATTAAGGTCCTTCTTCCTCTACCCAAGAGTCCTTCTCAGACAAATCACACGGCTCTCAGTCTCAACTATCTCCATCACCGCACGACACGTCCCTGGCACCTTAACTGGCATACTGACTGACTGTCTCTCTCACTTTAAATTCCAGGAATTTCCAGCGCCTAGGCTACATGGATGCCATGCGAGACCCCCGCCATGGAGTTCCCCGCCTTGGACTTGTCCCACCTTCTCTTCGTCTTTTCTTTGTACACGAAAACGTTTCTTTCGCATTTCTACGCTCATAACAGTCTGCTTCGCCGATGAGTCCCACTTCTACTACTCACCAACATTCCTTCACCTTGCCTGCCGTTCACACAATCAGTGCTTTCATAGTTCACCGTGCAGACAATAATCCTTCAATACCCTCGTATACCTACCCTGCTTGCTGGGACCCAATCTCAGGACCCGCTGCTACAACCCTGTTCTCTCCTCTCTATTCTCAGAGCCGTCACTCATACTCCTCGTCAAAGGCACCCACATCTGCTACTATGTAATCTGTCTCCCAATCTCTACACATCTCTCACTCCCTCAGGACAGGCGGCTACGTGTCCGGCGTCGGCTGGTTTTCTTCCTGCTGCCTCACAGCTCTTCGTATACTTCAGGCCAGACAATAACGACAGTACAGGCAGCCAGCGCTCCTTGCATCCCTGTAAGCCCTTGCAAATCCATCCTCGTAAGCACCTCCCCACTCGCAAAACTTTCTCGCGGGTGGCAGCCTCAGCTGCCTTTATTAATAGTGTTGCCTTTATTAATAGAGTTGCCAGTTATTATTAGTGTTGCCTTGAAATGGGAGGCTTCGCCCTTGCAAAATCCATCCTCGTAAGCACTCGCAAAACTTCCTGGCTGGTGCAGCAGCTGTGCTCTTATTAATAGCGTTGCCTTATTAATAGCGTTAGCCCTTTATTTATAGCATTGCCCTTTATTTATAGCGTTGCCTTTATTCATAGCGTTGCCTTTCTTTATAGCGTGGCCATTTTAATAGTGTTGGCTTTATTTATAGCGTTGCCTTTATCTTCACTAGCGTGCCTTTATTTATAGCAGTGCCTTTATTTATACGAGTGCCTTTATTCATAGCGTTGACTTTAATAATAGCGTTGCCTTTAATAATAGCGTTGCTTTATTTATAAGCGTTGCCTTTCTATTACAGCGTTGCCTTTATTTATAGCGTTGCCTTTATTTATAGCGTTGCCCTTTATTAATAGCGTTGCCTTTATTTATAGCGTTGCCTTTATTAATAGCGTTGCCTTTATTATATAGCGTTGCCTGTATTAATAGCGTTGCTGTATTAATAGCGTTCCCTTTATTTATAGCGTTGCCTTTATTTATAGCATTGCCTTTATTTATAGCGTTGCCTATATTAATAGCGTTGCCTTTATTAGTAGCGTTGCCTTTATTAGTAGCGTTGCCTTTATTAATAGCGTTGCCTTAATAATAGCGTGCTTTATTATATAGCGTTGCCTTTATTAATAGCGTTGCCTTAATTACTAGCGTTGCCTTTATATATAGCGTTGCCTTATATTTATAGCGATGCCATTATTTATAGCGTTGCCTTTATTAATAGCGTTGCCTTTATTAATAGCTTTGCCTTTATTAATAGCGTTGCCTTTATTTATAGCGTTGCCTTTATTTACCAGTGTTGCCTTATTTATAGCGTTGCCTTTTATAATAGCGTTGCCTTTATTTATAGCGTTTGCCTTTATTAATAGCGTTGCCTTTATTTATAGCGCTGCCTGTATTAATAGCGTTGCCTTTATTAATAGCGTTGCCTTTATTTATAGCGTTGCCTTTATTATAGCGTTGCCTTTATTAATAGCGTTGCCTTTATTAATAGCGTTGCCTTTATTTATGGCGTTGCCTATTATTTATAGCGTTGCCTTTATTTATAGCGTTGCCTTTATTAATAGCGTTGCCTTTATTAATAGTGTTGCCTTTATTAATAGCGTGCCTTTATTTATAGCGTTGCCTCACTGATCTAATTCTCATCCTCACACTCGAATAATTCGTCCTGCCAAACCCAGAACAAACTCACAGCCCTTTTGCGGGATCGTGCGCGCACTAAGCAGAGCCTCGCTGGCCCTAATTGCCGCACGGGGGCCTAGGACGCCAAACTACCTATCAATAAAAACATTCAACACTGCATTTTGTCTTCTGAGTCTCTCCAGATTGAAATACAAATGGATTCAACAGTAGTGCACTGCAACTATAAAGAAGCTGCTCAATGTTAAACTTTTCAACTTTGTAAACATTTGTTAAATAATAAATATAAAATGCACGACAATAAAACGTATTTAAATTTGAAAAAACCGTAAAACAACAAACCAACACACTGCCGTGAAAATGTAAATAAATTATAGCACCTGGTACCTTAACTGAGGATAAGTAACAAAATCTTCAAACTAAATGAACTGAGAATGAGGGACTACAAAACAAAGTGCAAAGTAAAAAAACGTGTATGCAAAAAAAAACTAATAAATTGTATGCAACATTAACGTTAGTTACTAAAAGTGGAATAAATATGAATACCAAACTTAATAAGAATAACAAACTAAACAATTTGTGTTGGCTAGAACAGCCTGGTGCATCACAGTTCCCTCCTCACTTCAGCAAGGCAAGTTCTTGTTTAAGAAGGCAACCTTTTCTGCAGTAAGACGATTCCTTTTCTCATTCAATATGTTGGAAACAGTGCTGAACAGTCTCTCACTTTCAACACTGGTGCACGGAGCCACACAAATATTTTTGAGGCAGCAACAGCAGGTTGGGAAATCTTCGCCTGTTAACTTCCCAGTATAGGCGAGGATCTTCTGTAGTGTTAACCGTTTTTCAGAGAAATAACTCTGCCATTTGGACAGCTTCAGGATCTCTGTCTCTTCCAGAATCTGATCAAACTCCATTAAAAAGCTGCTCTTTACTTTGTGCTCCTGCTGAAGCGCTGGTGCTTGCTGCTCCAGGCTCCATACCAGTCACCTCTTCTGGTGGCTCAGACGTCAGACTCCTCTTCTTCACATGTGATGCTTTCTCTCCTATTCTTCAAGTTCTTTGATCAGTGCATCCTTTGCATGAAACTGCCCTTGCGAAATATTTGAAACAAAAGGCCATGCATTCTATTATATATCATTGAAAAAATAATATGATTAATGCTATTGAAGACTATTACATGAATCATAACTAATAATTTTTAAATCTCTGATTTTTAAAAATATATATATTTACAAAATTGAATACCTATTTAAGATAGTACTTATAAAAGTCATGCCTGTCTTTATAGTGGGTGGTCCACCAGAGTTGCAAGGGCGTATAGTGGTTCATCTTCGACGGAACTGAAGCGGCTGTACACTGGCCCGTAATAAGGTCGTTTTTATCACATTCTTTTACATCTTCACATTCTTTTGCCAAAAGACGCTTGAGGACAGTGATGGCTGGAATTACATCAGCAGCTGATGCAGTAGAGGAACTGACTTTTCTTGTGACTTCTTCAAATGTAGCCAGAACAATCATTGCTTTCCTCCAACACGGCCCACTGGAGAGCCGTCAGAGTTGCAGGCAGGTCATAGTCAGCAACATACGCATGAGGGCTCGCTTTTGCTCCCAAAAGGCTCTATCATGTAGAAGGTGCTGTTCCACCTCCTTTTCACATCTTGCAATAGGCGTTTTGGCATTTTCATTAGAAGTTGGATGTCATGCAAACGTGAATATGATACCTGGGAATGCTTGAAATATCCCACAATCTGTCTACCATTTGGCCAGGGCATCGCTGATACTTCGCTGGGACAGCAGTCCCTCGTTCACAACAAGTTGCAACGAGTGAGCCAAAACAGCCCCAAGCTCACGCACTCCCATGGTGTTTTTCATACCTCATATCTGCAGCGTTGTATCCCGTAAAAATGACATGCACTTTCTCGAGCGGGATTTCCCACTCTGTAAAACATATCCATCAGCGCACTGGCTATCGAATCACCCGAGTGTGCGTCCCACAGGACGTTTTTGGCACCTAGCATTTGCACTGTGATGCTTACAGCTGCTGTCGCTCACAATGTGCAGATTAAACTCAGTTGATGACATTGGCGACACGTTGACGTCCAGATACCGTACTGAGCTCAGCTTTTTTGCACCTTTGAGCAGCTCTGATACGTCTCCACGGATCTTCTTGTAATATTCAGGCAAAGCAGTTTCCGATATGTATTAACGCGAGGGCATGGACGTTACCTCGGATCCAAATGCTCAAGCAGGTTGCGGAAAGCCACAGTTTTCCACAATAGATAGTGGCCTGCGAGCCCAAAACGATGAACTCCATTACTTTTTCCGTCAACTTTATAGCCTTTTGACTTGTTGCTGACAGCTTTTCATGACGCTGCAATGCATCCCCCAGTGTCAACTGTGTCGTTACTTTCACGCCTTCTCCTTTCGCTTTGTGAAGCTGCAAAAACTCCCCATGCTTTCACGTGGTGCTTCGCTAGATGCTTATTAAGTTTGTCGTATTGAATTTCTCCAGTTTACCGCCGCCTCTCGAAACGTCACACTTGCATATATTGCACAAAGCTGTCTGAGTTGTTGGTGAAGGCAGTGATTTGTGCAGACTGATAAAACAACGCAAACTTATATTATGCACACTATATTTAAATGCATTGTGCTGTACCTTGTATATATATATGTACATTTTGTATTTATAAAAATAAATTAAAAAAAAAGACAAAAAAAGTGGGATCGGCAGCACGGCGCCTCTCTCTACGCAGATATCCGATCCAGTATTTTTCCTGGTATCGGCGCCGATATCGATACCAGTATCGGATCGGTGCATCCCTAAGCTCAACGCTAACCTGCTACCTCAATGCTAGCCTGCTAGCTCAATGCTAACTTACTAGCTCAATGAAGTCCAATAGGGAAGTACCATGGTGAAGTTTGGCACCTATTGCCTTCCTGTCAAAGTAAACTCCGCAGGTCTCGGGTCTGGTCCTCAGGTCTCCTGGGTCCTCAGGTCTCTGGTCCTCAGGTCTCTGGTCCTCAGGTCTCTGGTCTCAGGTCTCTCAGGTCTGGTTTGGTCACTGGTCCTCAGGTCACTGGTTCTGGTCTCTCAGGTCTGGTTCTGGTCTCTGGTCCTCAGGTCTCTGGTTCTGGTTTCTCAGGTCTGGTTCTGGTCTCTCGGTCCTCAGGTCTCTGGTCCTCAGGTCTCTGGTTTGGTCTACTATGGTCTGGGTTTCTGGTCTCTGGCCTCAGGTCTCTGGTTCTGGTCTCTCAGGTCTGGTTTGGTCTCTGGTCCTCAGGTCTCTGGTTCTGGTCTCTCAGGTCTGGTTCTGGTCTCTGGTCCTCAGGTCTCTGGTTCTGGTCTTTCAGGTCTGCGTTCTGGTCTCATGGTCCTCAGGTCTCTGGTTCTGGTCTCTCAGAGTCTGGTTCTGGTCTCAGGTCCTCAGTCACTGGTTCTGGTCTCCCAGGTCTGGTTCTGGTCTCTGGTCCTCAGGTCTCTGGTTCTGGCTCTCTCAGGTCTGGTTCTGGTCTCTGGTCCTCAGGTCTCTGGTTCTGGTCTCTCAGGTCTGGTTCTGGTCTCTGGTCCTCAGGTCTTGGTTCTGGTCTCTCAGGTCTGGTTCTGGTCTCTGGTCTCAGGTCTCTGGTTCTGGTCTCTCAGTGTCTGGTTCTCAGGTCACTGTTGGTCTCTCAGGTCTTGGTTCTGTCTCTGGTCTCTGGTCACTGGTTCTGGTCTCTCAGGTCTGGTTCTGGTCTCTGGTCCTCAGGTCTCTGGTTATGGTCTCTCAGGTCTGGTTCTGGTCTCTGGTCCTCAGGTTCATGGTTCTGGTCTCTCAGGTTTGGTTCTGGTCTCTGGTCCTCAGGTCTCTGGTTCTGGTCTCTCAGGTCTGGTTCTGGTCTTGGTCCTCAGGTCTCTTGGTTCTGGTCTCTCAGGTCTGGTTCTGTCTCTGGTCCTCAGGTTCTGGTTCTGGTCTCTCAGGTCCTGGTTCCTGGTCTCTGGTCCTCAGGTCACTGGTTCTGGTCTCTCAGGTCTGGTTCTGGTCTCTGGTCCTCAGGTCTCTGGTTCTGGTCTCAGGTTGGTTCTGGTCTCTGGTCCTCAGGTCTCTGGTTCTGGTCTCTCAGGTCTGGTTCTGTCTCTGGTCCTCAGGTCTCTGGTTCTGGTCTTCAGGTCTGGTTCTGGTCTCTGGTCCTCAGGTCTCTGGTTTGGTCTCTCAGGCGTTCTGGTCTCTGGTCCCAGGTCTCTGGTTCTGGTCTCTCAGGTCTGGTTCTGGTCTCTGTCCTCAGGTCATGGTTCTGGTCTCTCAGGTCTGGTTTCTGGTCTCTGGTCCTCAGGTCTCTGGTTCTGGTCTCTCAGGTCTGGTTCTGGTCCTCTGGTCCTCATGTCTCTGGTCTCTGGTCCCTCAGGTCTGGTCTTGGTCTCTGGTCCTCAGGTCTCTGGTTCTGGTCTCTCAGGTCTGGTTCTGGTCTCTGGTCCTCAGGTCTCTGGTTCTGGTCTCTCAGGTCTGGTTCTGGTCTCTGGTCCTCAGGTCTATGGTCTCTCTGGTTCTGCTCAGGTCTGGTTCTGGTCTCTGGTCCTCAGGTCTCTGGTTCTGGTCTCTCAGGTCTGGTTCTGGTCTCTGGTCCTCAGGTCTCTGGTTCTGGTCTCTCAGGTCTGGTTCTGGGTCTCTGGTCTCAGGTCTCTGGTTCTGGTCCTCTCAGGTCTGGTCTGGTCTCAGGTCACTGGTTCTGGTCTCTCAGGTTGGTTTGGTCTCTGGTCCTCAGGTCACTGGTTCTGGTCTCTAGGTCTGGTTCTGGTCTCTGGTCCTCAGGTCTCTGGTTCTGTCTCTCAGGTCTGGTTCTGGTCTCTGGTCCTCAGGTCACTGGTCTGGTCTCTGGTTCTGGTTCTGGTCTCTGGTCCTCTGGTCACTGGTTCTGTGTCTCTCAGGTTCTGGTTTGGTCTCTGGTCCTCAGGTCTCTGGTTCTGGTCTCTAGGTCTGGTTCTGGTCTCTGGTCTCTCAGGTCTGGTTCTGGTCTCTGGTCTCGTCACTGGTTCTGGTCTCGGTCTCTGGTCCCTGTCCAGGTCTCTGGTTCTGGTCTCTAGGTCGTCTGGTCCTGGTCCTCAGGTCACTGGTTCTGGTCTCTCAGGTCTGGTTCTGGTCTCTGGTCCTCAGGTCTCTGGTTCTGGTCTCTCAGGTCTGGTTCTGGTCTCTGGTCTCTCGGTCTCTGGTTGTGTCTTCAGTCTGGTTCTGTACTCTGGTACTCAGGTCCTGGTTCTGGTCTCTCAGGTCTGGTTCTGGTCTCTGGTCCCAGGTCTCTGGTTCTGGTCTCTCAGGTCTGGTTCTGGTCTCTGGTCCTCAGGTCACTGGGTTTCTGGGTCTCTCAGGTCTGGTTTGGGTCTCTGGTCCTTCAGTCTCTGGTTCTGGTCTCTCAGGTTCTGGTTCTGGTCTCTCAGGTCTGGTCTCTGGTCTCTGGTCCTCAGGATCTTGGTTCTGGTCCTGTCTCAGGTCCTGGGATTCTGGTCTCTGGACTCAGGTCTACTGGTTCTTGTCTCTGCAGGTCTGGTCTCTGGTCTTCTGGTCTCTGGTCACTGGTTCTGGTCTCTAGGTCTTGGTTCTGGTCTCTGGTCTCAGGTCCCTGGTCTCTGGTCTCCTAGGTCCTGGTTCCTGGTCTCTGGTCCTCAGGTCTCTGGTTCTGGTCTCCAGGTCTGGTCTGGTCTCTGGTCCTAGGTCTCTGGTTCTGGTCTCTCAGGTCTGGTTCTGGTCTCCTGGTCCTCAGGTCTCTGGTTCTGGTCCTCAGGTCCTGGTTCTGGTCTCTGGTCCTCAGGTCTCTGGTTCTGGCCTTCTGGTCTGGTCTGGATCCTTGGTCCTCAGGTCTCTGGTTCTGGTCTCTCAGGTCTGGTTCTGGTCTCTGTGTCCTCATGTCTCGTTCTGTCTCCTCAGGTCTGGTTCTGGTCTCTGGTCCTCAGGTCTCTGGTTCTGGTCTCTCAGGTCTGGTCTCTGGCGTCTCTGGTCTCTCAGGTCTCATGGTCTCTGGTCTCAGGTCTGGTTCGGTCTCTGGTCCTCAGGTCTTGGTGGACCGCCTGCAGTCACAGTGGTCAGACTTCTGCCCTGGTTCCTCCTGGATCCTGAGACTCACGGAGCTCTGCCCAAAGAACTTGGTAACAGTGAAAAGTGAACATAAAGATAACAACAGGCAGGAGGGGAGGAGGGAGGGGGATGAGAGGGAGGTGGGGAGGAGGGAGGGGAGGGCGGGGAGAGAGGAGGGAGGGAGGTGGGGGTGAGGGAGGGGAGATGAGGAGGGACTGGAGGAGGGGCGAGGAGGGGAGGGAGAGCAGGGAAGGGAGGGGGAGGAGAGGTGGAGGGGAGGAGAGAGAGGGGAGGGAGGGAGGAGGTGAAGGAAAGGGGGAGAGAGGAGGGGGGAGGGAGAGGAGGAAGAGGGGGGGAGGGAGGTATAAGGGGAAGATAAAGGTATGTGTTGGCTGTGTCCTCGGATGTGCTCATCTGTAAATCAACACTTTTCTCCCCCCCGCTCCCCTCCCCCCCCCCCCCTCCCTCCCTCCTCCCCCTCCTCCCCTCCCCCTCCTCCCCCCCTCTCCCCCTCCCCTCCTCCCCCTCAGGACTCCGTCCTGAGCTTCCCGGTCCTCAGTATGTCTCTGATTCCTGGCGCTCAGTTGCACCCAGCTCTCTGTATCAGATCTCCTCCTCTTCCTCCCACTGCTCAGCTCCTGGGTCTTCAACTCCCTCATGAGGAGGTGCCCTCAGCTGCAGACTGCGCTCTGCACACTGTGGGGCGACACTGAGGTGACGGCTGCGTCCTTCCAGGCCTGGGCCGAGGACTTTAGGCAGGGTGGAGAGGCAGCACAGGCACATCCAGTCACGGTCATCTACAGGTCCTTCCGCCTCAGGTAAGTCCATGTCTACAGCCTCAGTCCTGGGTCTACAGCCGCCGTCTGGGTCTACAGCCTCAGTCCTGGGTCTACAGCCTCAGTCCTGGTCTACAGCCTCAGTCCTGGGTCTACAGCCTCAGTCCTGGGTCTACAGCCTCAGTCCTGGGTCTACAGCCTCAGTCCTGGGTCTACAGCCTCAGTCCTGGGTCTACAGCCTCAGTCCAGGTTCTACAGCCTCTGTCCTGGGTCTACAGTACAGTCCTGGGTCTACGGTCTCAGTCCTGGGTCTACAGCCTCAGTCACTGGGTCTACAGCCTCAGTCCTGGGTCTACAGCCTCACCTGGGTTATACAGCCTCAGTCCTGGGTCTACAGCCTCAGTCCTGGGTCTACAGCCTCAGCCTGGGTCTACAGTCTCAGTCTGGGTCTACTGCCTCAGTCCTGGGTCTACAGCCTCAGTCCAGGGTTACGGCCTCAGTCCTGGGTCTACGGCCTCAGTCCTGGGTCTACAGCCTCAGTCCTGGGTCTACAGCCTCAGTTCTGGGTCTACAGCCTCAGTCCTGGGTCTACAGCCTCAGTCCTGGGTCTACAGCCTCAGTCCTGGGTCTACAGTCTCAGTCCTGGGTCTACAGCCTCAGTCCTGGGTCTACAGCCTCAGTCCTGGGTCTACAGTCTCAGGTCCTTGGGTCTCAGCCGGCAGTCCTGGACTGATAGTGATCAGAGTTAGGAACTGGGGCGACAGGGATCTGAGAGTTAGTAACCCCAAAAAAAGGGGGGGGGGGGGGGGGGGGGGGGGCTTTAGCAGGTGTTTACATTGGTGGCTGCAGGTGACAGTACCATGCGTAACTAGTACCTGTGTGTCCAGGCGGTGGCGCTCCTGACCCGGGGACCTCTGTGTGGACTCACGGCTCAGAACTTCAGACTGAAACCGGATCGGTCCACAGACTCTGCAGGGACCAGGATCAGCACAGAGTGAGTTCTGAGGGGGAGGGGCTACTCTTTTAGCAATCGGAGGTAGCGGGTTAGCATTGTTAGGTATTGAGCTATGGTTAGCCATTGAGCTAGCTGGGTTAGCATTGAGGCGTACTGGTTTGAGCATTGAGTCTTGCATGGTTAGCATTGAGTTTGAGGTTAGCATTGAGTTTAGGGGGTTAGGCATTAGAGACTTAAAGGGTTTGGCATGAGTTTAAGGGTTAGCATTGAGTTTAAGGGTTAGCATTGAGTTTAAGGGTTAGCATTGAGTTTAAGGGTTAGCAGGGTTAGCATTGAGGGGTCTTGATTTTTGAGCATTGCGTGCGGGTTAGCATTGAGCTGCAGGTTAGCATTGTCCACTGTATAGTCTGCAGTGTGAGACCCTCTTTTGTTCTTGTGTCTTCAGGACGGGTCCCCAACTCAGTGCAGACTCAGGACTGCCCCTGGAGGAGCCCCTGACCTGGATTGCCCCTCTGCTGCCTGAACAGGGGTACTGCAGCCACAGTATGCGGGGGGTCCCGTGGGGTGAGGGAGTTCATGGAGGCGGTGTGTGACCAGGGGTGGTCACGGTGACCCCAGAAACCTCACGCCTCAGACCACTGGACATCCACTTCAGCGGGATCTGCTCCCTCAGAGGGGACCCTCCTGGTGGGAGGCATGCTAGGTCGTCCAGGCAAAAGACCAAGAGCTCCATCTTGGAGTTGTGGGCGTACATCCAGCCACCATGTTTGTGTTGTAGCAGTGCATAGAAGCCGCCGTACTTTTTGTGTTGTATGTATATAAACAGTAATTGTTTGTGTTGGAGTGTTGATGTCAGTCTATGTTTACTGCAAAAGGCAAATAATGAAGCTGAATCTGAATCGGAATGTGGCTGCCGGATTCGTCCGGAAGTTCAGTTTGCGCACGTCAAAATGTAACAATAAAAATGTAAACGTTGTAGTGTTGTAATAATGCATTGAGTTCTACGGGGAAAATGTTTGCGTAGCCCACGTGAATTTAGTCTGGTTCAGTCTGGTTCAGTCTGCAGTACCGCGAGAATCCCCTGAGCACGTGAGTTATTCAGCTACAAGCTGTAACACCCTATCCAGTTAATATAATAGATCAATGGGCTGACCTCACACTCCTACAACACCAACATGGCTAAAATAACTGTGGCTGCCGGATTCGTCCAGGAAACCGGAAAGGACAGTGAATCTAATCCAGAATTAACCTGTCTATGTGCTAGCCTCATTTCTGTGTGCCTTTGAACGCATCTGGGCGCTAGTAGCTTCGTGGCTACTAAAAGTATTGTTTTCTCTGAGCTCTTTTTCCGCCATTTCTCGTAATAAACCCTGACACATATGTGCACACATCAATAATATAATCTGTATATAACAACACAAACTGTTTACATGTTTATTTACATTTTTTGACGTGCGCAAACTGAACTTCCGGACGAATCCGGCAGCCACATTCAGATTCAGATTCATTTATTTGCCATTTGCAGTAAACATATACTGACATAACACTCAACACAAACATTACAGTTATATACATACAACACAAAAGTAGCGGCTCTATGCACTGCTACAACACAAACATGGTGGCTGGATGTACGCCCACAACACCAAGATGGAGCTCTTGTCTTTGCCTGGACTACCACATGCTCCCACCAGGAGGGTCTCTGAGGAGCAGTCGCTGAAGTGGATGGTCCAGTCTGAGGCGTGAGGTTCTGGGGTCACCGTGACCACGCCCTGGTCACACACCGCCTCCATGAACTCCCTCAGCCCCAGCGGGACCCCCCGCATACTGTGGCTGCAGTACCCCTGTTCAGGCAGCAGGAGGGGCAAGTCCAGGGTCAGGGGCTCCTCCAGGTGGCAGTCCTGAGTCTGCACTGAGTTGGGGACCCGGTCCTGAAGACACAAGAGACAAAAGAGGGTCTCACACTGCAGACTATACAGGTGGACAATGCTAACCTGCTAGCTCAATGCTAACCCGCAAGCTCAATGCTAACCCTAACCCTTAAACTCAATGCTAACCCTTAAACTCAATGCTAACCCTTAAACTCAATGCTAACCTGCAAACTCAATGCCAAACTGGAAGCTTAATGCTAACCCGCTAGCTCAATGCTAAGCCAGTAGCTCAATGCTAACCAGCTAGATCAATGCTAAGCCAGTAGCTCAATGCTAACCAGCTAGATCAATGCTAACCTGCAAACTAAATGCTAACCCGCTACCTCGATGCTAAAAGAGTAGCCCCTCCCCCTCAGAACTCACTCTGTGCTGATCCTGGTCCTGCAGGAGTCTGTGGACCTGATCCGGTTTCAGTCTGAAGTTCTGAGCCGTGAGGTCCACACAGGGGTCCCGGGTCAGGAGCGCCACCGCCTGGACACACATGGTACTGTTACGCATGGTACTGTCACCTGCAGCCACCAATGTAAACTCCTGCTAAAGCTGGGTTACGTAACTCTCAGATCCCTGTCTCCAGTTCCTAACTCTGATCACTATTCAGTCCCAGGACTGCGGCTGTAGACCCAGGACTGAGACTGTAGACCCAGGACTGAGACTGTAGACCCAGGACTGAGACTGTAGACCCAGGACTGAGACTGTAGACCCAGGACTGAGGCCGTAGACTCAGGACTGAGGCCGTAGACCCAGGACTGAGGCCGTAGACCCAGAACTGAGGCTGTAGACCCAGGACTGAGGCTGTAGACCCAGGACTGAGGCTGTAGACCCAGGACTGAGGCTGTAGACCCAGGACTGAGGCTGTAGACCCAGGACTGAGGCCGTAGACCCAGGACTGAGACTGTAGACCCAGGACTGAGGCTGTAGACCCAGGACTGAGGCTGTAGACCCAGGACTGAGGCTGTAGACCCAGGACTGAGGCTGTAGACCCAGGACTGAGGCCGTAGACTCAGGACTGAGGCCGTAGACCCAGGACTGAGACCGTAGACCCAGGACTGAGACTGTAGACCCAGGACTGAGGCTGTAGACCCAGGACTGAGGCTGTAGACCCAGGACTGAGGCTGTAGACCCAGGACTGAGGCTGTAGACCCAGGACTGAGGCTGTAGACCCAGGACTGAGGCTGTAGACCCAGGACTGCGGCTGTAGACCCAGGACTGAGGCTGTAGACCCAGGACTGAGGCTGTAGACCCAGGACTGCGGCTGTAGACCCAGGACTGAGGCTGTAGACTGGTACCTGTGTGAGGAGGCTGAGGTGTGCCTGTGCTGCCAGCTCCAGCCCCTGCCTCTCGGCCCAGGCCTGGATGGGACGCAGCCTCAGCCTCAGTGTCGCCCCCCAGTGTGCAGAGCGCAGGTCTGCAGGCTGAGGGCACCTCCTCATGAGGGAGTTGAAGACCCAGGAGCTGAGGCAGTGGAGGAGAGAGGAGGAGATCTGGATACAGAGAGCTGGGTGCAACTGAGCGCCACGGAACAGAGACATACTGAGGACCAGGAAGCTCAGGACGGAGTCTGAGGGGGGAGGGGGGGGGAGGAGGGGGGGGGGTGAGGGAGGGGGAGGGGGAGGAGGGGGAGGAGGGGGGAGGGGGGGGGAGGAGGAGGGGGGGAGAAAAAGTGTTGATTTACAGATGAGCAAACCGAGGGACACAGCCAACACATACCTTTATCTTCCCCTATACCTCCCTCCCCTCTTCCTCCTCTCCCTCCCCTCTCTCTCCCCCTTTCCTTCACCTCCTCCCTCCCTCCCCTCTCTCTCCTCCCTCCACTCCCTCCCCTCTCCCTTCCCTGCTCTCCCTCCCCTCCTCGCCCCCTCCTCCCTCCCTCTCTCTCCCCTCCCTCACCCCCACCTCCCTCCCTCTCTCTCCCCTCTCCTCCCCTCCCTCCTCCCCACCTCCCTCTCTCTCCCCTCCCTCCTCCCCTCCTGCCTGTTGTTATCTTTAGTTTCACTTTCACTGTTACCAAGTTCTTTGGGCAGAGCTCCGTGAGTCTCAGGATCCAGGAGGAACCAGGGCAGAAGTCTGACCAGCTGTGACTGCAGGCGGTCCACCAGAGACCTGAGGACCAGAGACCAGAACCAGACCTGAGAGACCAGAACCAGAGACCTGAGGACCAGAGACCAGAACCAGACCTGAGAGACCAGAACCAGAGACCTGAGGACCAGAGACCAGAACCAGACCTGAGAGACCAGAACCAGAGACCTGAGGACCAGAGACCAGAACCAGACCTGAGAGACCAGAACCAGAGACCTGAGGACCAGAGACCAGAACCAGACCTGAGAGACCAGAACCAGAGACCTGAGGACCAGAGACCAGAACCAGACCTGAGAGACCAGAACCAGAGACCTGAGGACCAGAGACCAGAACCAGACCTGAGAGACCAGAACCAGAGACCTGAGGACCAGAGACCAGAACCAGACCTGAGAGACCAGAACCAGAGACCTGAGGACCAGAGACCAGAACCAGACCTAGGAGACCAGAACCAGAGACCTGAGGACCAGAGACCAGAACCAGACCTGAGAGACCAGAACCAGTGACCTGAGGACCAAAGACCAGAACCAGACCTGAGAGACCAGAACCAGTGACCTGAGGACCAGAGACCAGAACCAGACCTGAGAGACCAGAACCAGATACCTGAGGACCAGAGACCAGAACCAGACCTGAGAGACCAGAACCAGACCTGAGAGACCAGAACCAGAGACCTGAGGACCAGGGACCAGAACCAGACCTGAGAGACCAGAACCAGTGACCTGAGGACCAGAGACCAGAACCAGACCTGAGAGACCAGAACCAGAGACCTGAGGACCAGAGACCAGAACCAGACCTGAGAGACCAGAACCAGTGACCTGAGGACCAGAGACCAGAACCAGACCTGAGAGACCAGAACCAGAGACCTGAGGACCAGAGACCAGAACCAGACCTGAGAGACCAGAACCAGAGACCTGAGGACCAGAGACCAGAACCAGACCTGAGAGACCAGAACCAGTGACCTGAGGACCAGAGACCAGAACCAGACCTGAGAGACCAGAACCAGAGACCTGAGGACTAGGGACCAGAACCAGACCTGAGAGACCAGAACCAGTGACCTGAGGACCAGAGACCAGAACCAGACCTGAGAGACCAGAACCAGAGACCAGAACCAGACCTGAGAGACCAGAACCAGAGACCTGAGGACCAGAGACCAGAACCAGACCTGAGAGACCAGAACCAGAGACCTGAGGACCAGAGACCAGAACCAGACCTGAGAGACCAGAACCACTGACCTGAGGACCAGAGACCAGAACCAGACCTGAGAGACCAGAACCAGAGACCTGAGGACCAGAGACCAGAACCAGACCTGAGAGACCAGAACCAGTGACCTGAGGACCAGAGACCAGAACCAGACCTGAGAGACCAGAACCAGTGACCTGAGAACCAGACCTGAGAGACCAGAACCAGAGACCTGAGGACCAGAGACCAGAACCAGACCTGAGAGACCAGAACCAGAGACCTGAGGACCAGAGACCAGAACCAGACCTGAGAGACCAGAACCAGAGACCTGAGGACCAGAGACCAGAACCAGACCTGGGAGACCAGAACCAGAGACCTGAGGACCAGAGACCTGAGGACCAGAGACCAGAACCAGACCTGAGAGACCAGAACCAGAGACCTGAGGACCAGAGACCAGAACCAGACCTGAGAGACCAGAACCAGAGACCTGAGGACCAGAGACCAGAACCAGACCTGAGGGACCAGAACCAGAGACCTGAGGACCAGAGACCAGAACCAGACCTGAGAGACCAGAACCAGAGACCTGAGGACCAGAGACCAGAACCAGACCTGAGAGACCAGAACCAGTGACCTGAGGACCAGAGACCAGAACCAGACCTGAGAGACCAGAACCAGAGACCTGAGGACCAGAGACCAGAACCAGACCTGAGAGACCAGAACCAGTGACCTGAGGACCAGAGACCAGAACCAGACCTGAGAGACCAGAACCAGAGACCTGAGGACCAGAGACCAGAACCAGACCTGAGAGACCAGAACCAGAGACCTGAGGACCAGAGACCAGAACCAGACCTGAGAGACCAGAACCAGAGACCTGAGGACCAGAGACCAGAACCAGACCTGAGAGACCAGAACCAGTGACCTGAGGACCAGAGACCAGAACCAGACCTGAGAGACCAGAACCAGATACCTGAGGACCAGAGACCAGAACCAGACCTGAGAGACCAGAACCAGAGACCTGAGGACCAGAGACCAGAACCAGACCTGAGAGACCAGAACCAGAGACCTGAGGACCAGAGACCAGAACCAAACCTGAGAGACCAGAACCACTGACCTGAGGACCAGAGACCAGAACCAGACCTGAGAGACCAGAACCAGAGACTGAGGACCAGAGACCAGAACCAGACCTGAGAGACCAGAACCAGTGACCTGAAGACCAGAGACCAGAACCAGACCTGAGAGACCAGAACCAGTGACCTGAGAACCAGACCTGAGAGACCAGAACCAGAGACCTGAGGACCAGAGACCAGAACCAGACCTGAGAGACCAGAACCAGAGACCTGAGGACCAGAGACCAGAACCAGACCTGAGAGACCAGAACCAGAGACCTGAGGACCAGAGACCAGAACCAGACCTGAGAGACCAGAACCAGAGACCTGAGGACCAGAGACCAGAACCAGACCTGGGAGACCAGAACCAGTGACCTGAGGACCAGAGACCAGAACCAGACCTGAGAGACCAGAACCAGAGACCTGAGGACCAGAGACCAGAACCAGACCTGAAAGACCAGAACCAGAGACCTGAGGACCAGAGACCAGAACCAGACCTGAGAGACCAGAACCAGAGACCTGAGGACCAGAGACCAGAACCAGACCTGAGAGACCAGAACCAGAGACCTGAGGACCAGAGACCAGAACCAGACCTAGGAGACCAGAACCAGAGACCTGAGGACCAGAGACCTGAGGACCAGAGACCAGAACCAGACCTGAGAAACCAGAACCAGAGACCTGAGGACCAGAGACCAGAACCAGACCTGAGAGACCAGAACCAGTGACCTGAGGACCAGTGACCAGAACCAGACCTGAGAGACCTGAGGACCAGAGACCTGAGGACCAGAGACCTGAGGACCAGAGACCTGAGGACCAGAGACCTGAGGACCAGACCCAGAGACCTGCGGAGTTTACTTTGACATGGAAGGCAATAGGTGCCAAACTTCACCATGGGTACTTCCCTATTGGACTTCATTGAGCTAGTAAGTTAGCATTGAGCTAGCAGGCTAGCATTGAGGTAGCAGGTTAGCGTTGAGCTTAGGGATGCACCGATCCGATACTGGTATCGATATCGGCGCCGATACCAGGAAAAATACTGGATCGGATATCTGCGTAGAGAGAGGCGCCGTGCTGCCGATCCACTTTTTTTGTCTTTTTTTTAATTTATTTTTATAAATACAAAATGTACATATATATATACAAGGTACAGCACAATGTATTTAAATATAGTGTGCATAATATAAGTTTATGTATAAAATAAAGTAATTTATCAGATCTGCCACAACAGCATGGAGCGATCAGCAGTGTGTTGTTTTACACTGCCTTCACCAACAACTCAGACAGCTTTGTGCAATATATGCAAGTGTGACGTTTCGAGAGGCGGCGGTAAACTGGAGAAATTCAATACGACAAACTTAATAAAGCATCTAGCGAAGCACCACGTGAAAGCATGGGGAGTTTTTGCAGCTTCACAAAGCGAAAGGAGAAGGCGTGAAAGTAACGACACAGTTGACACTGGGGGATGCATTGCAGCGTCATGAAAAGCTGTCAGCAACAAGTCAAAAGGCTATAAAGTTGACGGAAAAAGTAATGGAGTTCATCGTTTTGGGCTCGCAGCCACTATCTATTGTGGAAAACTGTGGCTTTCGCAACCTGCTTGAGCATTTGGATCCGAGGTACGTCATGCCCTCGCGTAAATACATATCGGAAACTGCTTTGCCTGAATATTACAAGAAGATCCGTGGAGACGTATCAGAGCTGCTCAAAGGTGCAAAAAAGCTGAGCTTCAGTACGGGTATCTGGACGTCAGACGTGTCGCCAATGTCATCACTGAGTTTAACTGCACATTGGAGCGACAGCAGCTGTAAGCATCACAGTGCAATGCTAGGTGCCAAAAACGTCTGTGGGACGCACACGGGTGATTCGATAGCAAGTGCGCTGATGGATATGTTTACAGAGTGGGAAATCCCGCTCGAGAAAGTGCATGTCATTTTACGGGATAACGCTGCAGATATGAGGTATGAAAAACACCATGGGAGTGCGTAGCTTGGGCTGTTTTGCTCACTCGTTGCAACTTGTTGTGAACGAAGGACTGCTGTCCCAGCGAAGTATCAGCGATGCCCTGGCCAAATGTAGACAGATTGTGGGATATTTCAAGCATTCCCAGTTATCATATTCACGTTTGCATGACATCCAACTTCTAATGAAAATGCCAAAACGCCTATTGCAAGATGTGAAAAGGAGGTGGAACAGCACCTTCTACATGATAGAGCCTTTTGGAGCAAAAGCGAGCCCTCAGTGCGTATGTTGCTGACTATGACCTGCCTGCAACTCTGACGGCTCTCCAGTGGGCCTTGTTGGAGAAAGCAATGATTGTTCTGGCTACATTTGAAGAAGTCACAAGAAAAGTCAGTTCCTCTACTGCATCAGCTGCTGATGTAATTCCAGCCATCACTGTCCTCAAGCGTCTTTTGGCAAAAGAATGTGAAGATGTAAAAGAATGTGATAAAAACGACCTTATTACGGGCAGTGAACAGCCGCTTCAGTTCCGTCGAAGAAGAACCACTATACGCCCTTGCAACTCTGGTGGACCCCCACTATAAAGACAGGCATGACTTTATAAGTACTATCTTAAATAGGTATTCAATTTTTTAAATATATATATTTTTAAAATCAGAGATTTAAAAATTATTAGTTATGATTCATGTATAGTCTTCAATAGCATTAATCATATTATTTTTTCAATGATATATAATAGAATGCATGGCCTTTTGTTTCAAATATTTCGCAAGGGCAGTTTCATGCAAAGGATGCACTGATCAAAGAACTTGAAGAAGAGGAGAGAAGCATCACATGTGAAGAAGAGGAGTCTGACTCTGAGCCACCAGAAGAGGTGACTGGTATGGAGCCTGGAGCAGCAGCACCAGCAGCTTCAGCAGGAGCACAAAGTAAGAGCAGCTTTTTAATGGAGTTTGATCAGATTCTGGAAGAGACAGAGGATCCTGAAGCTGTCCAAATGCAGAGTTATTTCTCTGAAAAAACGGTTAACACTACAGAAGATCCTCGCCAATACTGGGAAGTTAACAGGCGAAGATTTCCCAACCTTGCTGTTGCTGCCTCAAAATATTTGTGTGCTCCTTGCACCAGTGTTGAAAGTGAGAGACTGTTCAGCACTGTTTCCAACATATTGAATGAGAAAAGGAATCGTCTTACTGCAGAAAAGGTTGCCTTCTTAAACAAGAACTTGCCATTGCTGAAGTGAGGAGGGAACTGTGATGCACCAGGCTGTTCTAGCCAACACAAATGTTTAGTTTGTTATTCTTATTTAAGTTTGTATTCATATTTATTCCACTTTTAGTAACTAACTTAATGTTGCATACAATTTATTAGTTTTTTTTTGCATACACGTTTTTTTACTTTGCACTTTGTTTTGTAGTCCCTCATTCTCAGTCATTTAGTTTGAATATTTTGTTACTATCCTCAGTTAAGGTACCAGGTGCTATAATTTATTTACATTTTCAGGCAGTGTGTTGGTTTGTTGTTTTACGGTTTTTCAAATTTAAATACGTTTTATTGTCGTGCATTTTATATTTATTATTTAACAAATGTTTACAAAGTTGAAAAGTTTAACATTGAGCAGCTCTTTATAGTTGCAGTGCACTACTGTTGAATCCATTTGTATTTCAATCTGGAGAGACTCAGAAGACAAAATGCAGTTTGAATGTTTTTATTGATAGGTAGTTTGGCGTCCTAGGCCCCCGTGCGGCAATTAGGGCCAGCGAGGCTCCTGCTTAGTGCGCGCACGATCCCGCAAAAGGCTGTGAGTTTGTTCTGGGTTTGGCAGGACGAATTATTCGAGTGTGAGGATGAGAATTAGATCAGTGAGGCAACGCTATAAATAAAGGCAACGCTATTAATAAAGGCAACACTATTAATAAAGGCAACGCTATTAATAAAGGCAACGCTATAAATAAAGGCAACGCTATAAATAAAGGCAACGCCATAAATAAAGGCAACGCTATTAATAAAGGCAACGCTATTAATAAAGGCAACGCTATAAATAAAGGCAACGCTATAAATAAAGGCAACGCTATTAATAAAGGCAACGCTATTAATACAGGCAGCGCTATAAATAAAGGCAACGCTATTAATAAAGGCAACGCTATAAATAAAGGCAACGCTATTAATAAAGGCAACGCTATAAATAAAGGCAACACTGTAAATAAAGGCAACGCTATAAATAAAGGCAACGCTATTAATAAAGGCAACGCTATTAATAAAGGCAACGCTATTAATAAAGGCAACGCTATAAATAAAGGCAACGCTATAAATAAAGGCAACGCTATTAATAAAGGCAACGCTATAAATAAAGGCAACGCTATTAATAAAGGCAACGCTATAAATAAAGGCAACGCTATTAATAAAGGCAACGCTATTAATAAAGGCAACGCTACTAATAAAGGCAACGCTACTAATAAAGGCAACGCTATTAATAAAGGCAACGCTATAAATAAAGGCAATGCTATAAATAAAGGCAACGCTATAAATAAAGGCAACGCTATTAATACAGGCAACGCTATTAATACAGGCAACGCTATAAATAAAGGCAACGCTATTAATAAAGGCAACGCTATAAATAAAGGCAACGCTATTAATAAAGGCAACGCTATAAATAAAGGCAACGCTATAAATAAAGGCAACGCTGTAAATAAAGGCAACGCTATAAATAAAGGCAACGCTATTATTAAAGGCAACGCTATTAATAAAGGCAACGCTATTAATAAAGGCAACGCTATAAATAAAGGCACTGCTATAAATAAAGGCAACGCTATTAATAAAGGCAACGCTATAAATAAAGCCAACACTATTAATAAAGGCAACGCTATAAATAAAGGCAACGCTATTAATAAAGGCAACGCTATAAATAAAGGCAATGCTATAAATAAAGGCAACGCTATTAATAAAGGCAACGCTATTAATAAAGGCACAGCTGCTGCCACCACCAGGAAGTTTTGCGAGTGCTTACGAGGATGGATTTGCAAGGGCGAAGCTCCATTTCAAGGCAACACTATTAATAAAGGCAACACTATTAATAAAGGCAACACTATTAATAAAGGCACAGCTGCTGCCACCGCCAGGAAGTTTTGCGAGTGCTTACGAGGATGGATTTGCAAGGGCTTACAGGGATGCCAAGGAGCGCTGGGCTGCCTGTACAGTCGTAGTGTCTGGCCTGAAGTATACGAAGAGCTGTGGAGGGCAGAAGGAGAAAACCAGCGACGCCGTACACGTAGCCGCGCCTGTCCTGAGGGAGTGAGATGTGTAGAGATTGGGAGACAGATTACATAGTAGCAGATGTGGGTGCCTTTGACGAGGAGTATGAGTGACGGCTCTGAGAATAGAGAGGAGAGAACAGGGTTGTAGCAGCGGGTCTGAGATTGGGTCCCAGCAAGCAGGGTAGGTATACGAGGTATTGAAGGATATTGTCTGCACGGTGAACTATGAAAGCACTGATTGTGTGAACGGCAGGCAAGGTGAAGGAATGTTGTGTGAGTAGTAGAAGTGGGACTTCCGGCGAAGCTGAATGTTATGAGCGTAGAATGCGAAAGAAACGTTTTCGTGTACAAAGAAAAGACGAAGAGAAGGTGGGACAAGTCCAAGGCGGGGAACTCCATGGCGGGGGTCTCGCATGGCATCATGTAGCCTAGGCGCTGGAATTCCTGGAATTTAAAGTGAGAGAGACAGTCAGTCAGTATGCAGTTAAGGTGACCAGGGACGTGTCGTGCGGTGATGGAGATATTTGAGACTGAGAGCCGTGTGATTTGTCTGAGAAGGACTCTTGGGTAGAGGAAGAAGGACCTTAATTTAGGATTTCTACAACGTCCAGCTTGTAGACCCCCCAAAACCCAAGGACGAGGCAGCGTCCGCGAAGAAGTGCAGGGCAACGGAGGAACGGACGACGTCACTGCAGAAAGAGACGCCGACCCGGCGGCCCAGCAGGCGGGACTAGAACATGGCCAGGGCGGCACCCGGCGTCCGGGGAAGACAGCGTCGAGGTGGGAGGGGCCAACACCAGCGAGGGAGAGGAGCCTGGAAACAAAAGAACGGCCCTGGGGAACGAACCGGACGGCACGATTGAGGTGCCTGAGCAGGGAGAGCAGCTGGCGCTTCGACATTGACGGGGCCCGGACACCGCCCACGCCAGAAACCGTGTGGCCCCTCGGGGATTGTGGAAGGCCGACAGCAGGTCGAGGGATGCGAGGGACGCCGACGTCAGGAGGAAGATGATGAACGCCCAATCGGGATGGAGTAGGAGCGCGTGGGCAAGCCTGGGCGAGCCTGGGCGAGCCCGGTCTACGGAGACCCCCCCACAGTCGGAACGAAAGTTGATACCACGTTCTCCGAGTAAGACGAACCAGAGTCAGCGCAGTCCCTTATGTGACCAGGAGCACAAGATCTTCCAGTGGACCCGAAACGCAGACCGTTGACAATGTGCGAGACGGTCTGCGCCAGTACGAAGGGAAAACATTGCACCACTCCGTGCTTTATCACGTTCTCCGAGACCAGCCCAGAAACGATGCGACCAGCGCTCGGGGCATCAGCAGCCCGCCTGCAGTCCAGAGCACGGGGTCAAAACAGCCAGCCTGCAGCCCGGTGCGCTGGGTCAACGGCCAGCCAGCAGTCCAACGAACGGGATTAAAACAAACAGCCAGCAGAACGATGTGAGGGACCAAGCCGAGAGCCTGCAGTCCAATGTGAGGGATTAAAACAGAGCTTGCAGTCCAAAAGAGGGATTTATCTTTTTCTTTTCTTTCTCTTTTTTCTTCTTTTTTTTTTTTTTTTTTTTTTTACAAAGAGAGCTTGCAGTCCAATATGAAGGATTTAAACAGTGTGAGGGATATAACCTGAGAGCCGCGGCCGGAAGCGAGGGATTTAAACTGAGAGCCGCAGTCCGAAGCGAGGGATTTAAACTGAGAGCCGCAGTCCAGAGTGGGGGATTTAAAGAGCCTGCAGTCCGATGTGAGGGATTTAGACCGAGAACATGCAGTCCAATGTGAGGGATTTAAACTGAGAGCCTGCAGACCAATGAGAGGGATTTAAACTGAGAGCCGCAGTCCAAAGCGAGGGATTTAAACTGAGAGCCACGGTCCAGAGTGAGGGATTTAAACAGAGCCTGCAGTCCAATGCGAGGGATTTAAACTGAGAGCCTGCAGTCCAATGCGAGGGATTTAAACTGAGAGCCTGCAGTCCAATGCGAGGGATTTAAACTGAGAGCCTGCATTCCAATGCGAGGGATTTAAACTGAGAGCCTGCAGTCCAATGTCCATCCATCCATCCATTTTCTTCCGCTTTATCCGTTGTCGGGTCGCGGGGGCAGCAGTCTAAGCAGAGACGCCCAGACTTCCCTATCCACACACACTTCCTCCAGCTCGTCCGGGGGGACCCCAAGGCGTTCCCAGGCCAGCTGAGAGACATAGTCCCTCCAGCGTGTCCTAGGTCTTCCCCGGGGCCTCCTCCCGGTGGGACGTGCCCGGAACACCTCCCCAGGGAGGCGTCCAGGAGGCATCCGGAACAGATGCCCGAGCCACCTCAACTGGTTCCTCTCGACGTGGAGAAGCAGCGGCTCTACTCCGAGCTCCTCCCGTGTGACTGAGCTCCTCACCCTATCTCTAAGGGAGCGCCCAGCCACTCTGCGGAGGAAGCTCATTTCGACCGCTTGTATCCGCGATCTCGTTCTTTCGGTCATTACCCAAAGCTCATGACCATAGGTGAGGGAGGGAACGAAGATTGACCGGTAAATTGAGAGCTTTGCCTTTCGGCTCAGCTCCCTCTTTACCACAACGGTCCGATACAGCGACCGCATCACTGCGCACGCTGCACCGATCCGCCTGTCAATCTCACACTCCATTCTTCCCTCACTCGTGAACAAGACCCCGAGATACTTGAACTCCTCCACTTGAGGAAGGACCTCTCCACCCACCTGCAGAGGGCAAGGCACCTTTTTCCGGTCGAGCACTGTTAAGGAAGTTTCTATCCAATGAAGGAGAAAACTCAAAGGTCTTTGTCTTAATTCAGGAGCGTAAGTTTATTGTAACACACGTGCGGAGGGCTGACTACACAGAAACAGCGTGCATTCAGCTCTGGCTCGCAGAGCTCCGAGTTTCCTGTTTACAAGACACACACGAAAGACAGTCCCGCCCACAACAGATGGGAGGGGGTTCAGCAGAGACGGGGCTCTGGAGCGGAGACGCCATGTCCCGGGGAGAGACATCTGGCCGCGCCATAGGGATGCAAACAGACTGCAGGATGTAGAAAATGCACACATACAGACCGATACATATGCAAGAGGTGAAAGGGGGCAAGAGTGATCGCCATTGTCTGTAGGTGTCGGGGGGGACCCGGCTCCTTCCTGGAGCAGGGACATATGAATAGAAGCAGGCATACAGATGCAAGATACGAAAGACACAAGGGTGTGACAGACAGCAGGGGCCCTCACAAAGCTCAGCATGGCGTCAGAAGGTCGTCTCTGCATTGATAAAAGGCCTTTGACGTCCGTGTATTTGCTGCGGCTGGTTTTATGTAATTACTCCAAAAACTGTCACCACACTCCCCTCTTTTGATAATTCAAAACCATTTTTGCATTAATCAGTTAAATACCAGAGGCATCGTAATCACATCACCTTCAAGCTTGAAACACTTAAATTATTGCTGTCCAAAGTGGACAAGAAAAGAAACATGCTTGTCAATAAAAGAAAGAGCACATTATAATAACACAATGGATCCGGACAGCGATAAGAGAAGACAATATTAACATAATAAACACGGTCAGCACGGAAAGTAGTGTCAGTGTGGCCAGCATAACAGTCCAAGGGCCCATGCCGGTCTTAGCCGGGCTACGTTCGGTAGTCTTTTCCGCGGGAATACTCACGAGCAGTGCCGTCTCGCAGTCAGTGGCACCGCTCCCTATGAGCGTGTGTGGAGCGTTAGTGGTCATGGCGATGTTTGGTCTTGGAGCGGCAAGACTCTAATTGCGTTGAAGCCTTGGCCTCAACACTCGGTTGGGCAGAGTGCTCGGGGTTTGGGGTGTGGAGACCATGGCTTGAGCACGCTCCAGATCGGCCAGGCCCAAAGCTCGTTTGATGGGAGACCTCATGACAGCACGCTTCACCATGTGCCTCATCAGGAACTGTAGAGCAGCCCTCATCTCCACCTCCTCCGGACACACGGGAGACGAGACACCAGGGGGCACTCCAGCAGAGCTCAAATCTGCATTATGGCCAGAGGGGGCAAGCTCTGGAGAAATCTTTGGAATGGGCAGCAGCTCTGCATACTTGCTGCAGCTGAGCAGAGCGCTCAGGGCCTTCATGGCTCCCAAGCCTTGGGATCCGGGGGCTGGGGAGTTGGGCAAAAGGGGGGTCGCCTCGGGAACGCTGGGATTCTCTGGGTGTTGTTGTTGGCCTGCTTCACTTCTTCAGCGTAGGGAGCCGCGGATGGGCCTGGTCCGTCCGCGCCCTCGGTGTCCTCGTCTATGGCCCTCAGTGGCAGCACCGCACGACAGTGGTTGGCGTGGATCCAAGTTGTCCTCTCCGCGACCTTAACGGCAGTGTCCGTCACCAGGAGGGCGAGGAATGGGCCGAGCCAGCGCTTGGACCGCCAATGCTTTCGTCTCGTTTCCTTCATCAGGACCCAGTCGCCTGGCTTGATCCTGTGCAGAGCCGCCTGCGCAGCCTGTGGCAGGGCGCTCCTGACCTGGGCAGAAATAGAGGACAAAAGTGCATTAATTTCCTTACAATAGGACAGCATGTCGTCATCACACAAAGAGGTGCTTGGCAGATCTCTGTTCGGGGGTCCCGCGCCCAAGTTGGGTGGTCTGGCACAGAGGATTTCGAATGGGACTCTCATGCGCATGTACATGAGGGCTAGCGGCAGAGCTTTGAGTGCCATTCTCTCGCTCGCACGCGCCTCGGCTCCAGGGGGCGTAACTGCAGTGTTTACGTATATCAATGCCCAGAAATTCACCCACTTCCTCAATGACTTTTGCTACAAAGTGACTGCCATTGTCACACTAGAGATTTTCCCTCGGGACACCCCATCGTGGCACAATTTCTGTGAGCAGAGCTTTCACCACCGCGTTGCTCGTGGCGTGTTTGCATGCAAATATTCAGTCCATTTGGACCAGAGATCCGCCAGACCCAGACAGTATTACTTACCTTGGCATGGTGTGAGTTCAACAAAGTCCCTTTGGACATGTTGAAATGGGCGCAGGGGCGGAGGATGAGCAGCCTGTTGGATACTTTTGGGACTTACCTGGGTTGTGCGCGAGGCATATAGCGCATGTTTGGCAGAATCTCTGTGCAAATGCCGTAAACCCCTTTGTATACCAATTTTGTGTGATTAAATCACACATCCCTCCTTCTGAGGCATGGTCTCGACCATGTGCTAAAATTGCAAACTGTCTGAAGAAATGCCGTGGTAAGCACGGTTTGCTGTCTGGTCCCAGCCACACACACCATGCCGTCGTTGAGCCCCATTCCCCTCCCACAGCAGCGTCTCTGCTGGAGTAGCCAGTGTCTGCATCGCTGACAGAGAGGAGAAAATATCAACGTCTTGAGTGAGGTAGTGTGTGTGTGTGTGTAGAGGTGCGTATGCCGCTGCCTTGTCCGCGCGCCGATTCCCTGCAGAGATGGGATCAGTGGCATTAGTGTGGGCCTGGCATTTGCGTGCATCGATCTCTAAGGGCAACATTACAGCTTTCAGCAGACGTTCAACCTGTGTGGAATTAAGAATTGGTTTACCATCAGATCACAGAATATGTTAACAGTTTTGCCCGCTGCCAGCTCACAAGCCCCGGTGGGCGCGACCAGTTCAGCGGTTTGTGCTGAATGGTAGTGGGGCAAACTACCAGAGTCTATAGTATCAAAATCAGAACACACAGCATAGCCGACTCGGTTCTTCCCAGTGTTGTCACGTGACGCGGCTCCGTCTGTATAAAAAAAATCAAGTCAGGATTAGTCAGAGGCATCTCTTTCAGGTCTGGCCTGGGAGTGCATATCTGTTCTATTGTGGCGATACAGCAGTGTGCCTCCCCTTCCTCTGGCGTGGGCAGCAGTGAGGAGGGGTTCAGCTGTGTGCATCTTTTCACCGTGACATTGGGGAGTTCAAAGAGCACCGTGTTGTATTTCAGCCAACGAGCCGCAGAAAGGTGAGAGGTTTTCTGCTCTAGCAGGATCAGGGAAACAGCATGGGGCACAAGCAAAGTTAGTTCAGTGTATCCCACAAGGTCACGTGATGCTAGGGCCGCTTTCTCAGCGGCAGCCACAGCCCGCAGGCAGCGAGGCAACCCTGCTGCCACGGGATCGAGTTTTGCTGAGAAGTAAGCAGTGGGTCTCAGTGGCCCTCCGTGAGACTGCAAAAGTACCGACACCATGCACCCACACCGCTCATCCACAGTCTGAGTGACTGACCGTTGGGTCAGGGAGACCTAGTGTGTGTGTGTAGATTTGCTGTTCCGTTCATCTCCAGTTGCTTTTCTCCCGGATCGTCCTCAATTCATATTGTGGGCTTTTGTGCCAAAGTGGAGGCTCATTTCCTCCTGATCCATACTACTGT